CCCTTGGTATTTCTATTCTTGTTATGTTGAGAAGTTAGTCTTTAGATTTAAATCAAATGACCTTCTTAATATTTTGACTTCTATTTTTTTCACAACAATTTGGTTTTTATGGGAAGAGTGAAATATGATAATCTTTCAATTAAGGTCCACAAGAAAAGAACAAATTTGGTTTTTATTTGTTAGAGAGAGCAATCATTAATAATTTACATATCACATGGCGTCAGCAGGAACCCAAATTCATTATTTCGGTGGCTTGGTCTTTCCTTGAGCCCAACATTTCAAGTTGAATGTTGATGCAGAATCTAGGTTTAGCAGGTGGTGGCGATGTTATGAGAGATAGTGGTTGTACTTTTGTAGCTACCTTTGCTAAATCATTTGGCACTGCCTCTAATAATTACGTTTGAAGAAAGATTTCATCTGGCTATTCAGTTGGATTGATTTCCTCTCCAAGTATAAAATGATTAATCTTTACTTGTGAATGCCATTTATAATTATTGACGTACCCCATGAAGGTTACATATGGTTGCAGCTATTTGTCCGAGCAAACTTTCCACTCGTACATGATCGATTTCCATATTTTGTGAAGCCAATATGGTAGCCGATGCCCTTGCTAAGAAAGGTTTTTTTAGTTCTGGAGCTACTATTTGACGTTTTAGACGGCCATACTTTATTTCCCTATTTGACTTACCCATAAAAAGGACTTGGAACCACAAGTCAAATCAGAATCAACAGGGATCAACACTGGGTCGTCCCAAAATTAGGCAACTCAAAAAGAGTTTTTTTTTTTTAAAGGAAAGTATAGAATGAGACCATTTACCTTTAATACAAGGTGGTCACTATAATCTTAACTATTGTATGTAAAATTGTACCTCTGCAAATATTCCATTGACCAAGCTCAAACTTCAAAATAAAATTTTTCGAACTTTGTGATACATCCAAGCCATCAAACTTCACATTGGATGGTTGTAAGTAATTGTGACCACATTATATTAAAGATTAATGGTCTATACAATCTTTTTTTTTTTTTTAATATTTTGACTCAAAAGTTTTAAAATCAATGTTCTCTCAATTTTGAAACTTATTTTATCAAATTTCCACACGCTGTTCTGCTACCCCTTTTTAAATCCAAACAAAGTTTTCTTTACATCAAACCTATTTTTTTGTGTGAGAGAGAGAAAATATTTGCCAATTTTGAGATAAGAAGCACGCCATTGTTTATAGCTCAAAAGCTCCGACCCATCATTTTCTTGATTTTTTATTATTTTCTCAAGCAAAATTTGTAAAATATCATATGAAATCTGCAGTAAAACTTTATAACATAAATAATACAAGTTGTCCGAACAAAAATTGTTTCAAAGAGATATGGTTGTTGGTCGATTTGACAAGGCATTGGGGGTTACGCCCTAGCTATGAGATACATCGTCCGAGTGCCTGGCATTTGTTAGTTTGATGGTGAGATTCGCCTTGGAGACTCCGTCGGTACTGTTCCAAACAAATCGGTGCTTCGGTCAATTCTTGAAAGGTTTGACAGCTTTTAAAAGAAATTTAATATAAATAAAATATACTTTTATAAATAAAAATATATTTATATATATGTATATATATATATAAAATGATTTTATAAGACTCTCTTTTATCAATGTGTAGGATTCTCAAAAAATCATCATTAAAATTGATAAAGATCTTTAAAAAAAGCCAAATCCTACAAACATGTAATAATTTTTTAGAGATATGTGACAATTTTAATGATAATCTTTTAAAATCCCTCATTCTTACGTATCATTACTTTTTTTATTTATATATATATATATATATATATATATA